GGGATAAAGGTACTTTAAAACACTTAAACCTACCCCATGTTATAATCTCTATAAAGGAAGATCCCATCATATTTGTGTCATTAAAACTATTTCCATTTTACAAATGGTTTATCATATTATCAATAGTTCAATGTGGAATATTCTTTTCTTTTTTTCTTTTTTTTTCTTTTTTTTTGCTATAGTGTTCATGCTCTTGCCAGAGAAAGAGAGACAGAAAGTGAGAAATCACCCCCCAGGGAGAAAGGCCACATCACATTCCTTCTTCTTTCTGGATTTTGAGTGTACACACACACACACATGCCAAGAATGATTTTCATGCCACAGGGTCTGGAACTTGAACCATGGAGTCAGTCATCTGGATCCAATGCCTTAACCTCCATGCCACCTGCTGGCCCTTCAATATAAGTTTTAATTAATGTGTTACTTTGATTAATTGTGTTCTACCCAAACATTTTCAACCAATTAACCTGGAGCCATGCTAGGCAAAGTACTATCACGAATAGAAAGATCTGTGAGGTCAGCTGAAGTGGCACAGTGGTAACACATACTCTGCTTTGCTGAGACCATATAGGAAAGTCTCAGATTTACATCTTAAGGTCCCCCTATACATGCCAGAGGCACTTGTGGGCTCATGATCTTGACTGATTGAGGCTGGGAGTGAATCTCTGTAAGAAGACCCTACTGTGAATGTTTTTCTCTGTCTCATGCACCCTTTTTTTTTTGGTCTCTTCCTCTCATAGAAGAAATAATAAGTTTATAAGGTTTTAAAAATTTAAAAAGGATTGTGAGATACAATTTCTTGGGTTCATTATTTTGGTAACTTATTTGAGGAGGAAAATGTGTGAAAATTTTAAGATTCAAATAATAGCTCTGTCACAAGGCTCTCTAAATTACTGAATCAGTTGTTAATTTACACTTTTTGTAATGTGGTATATTATGTAATGTTAACTACGTCAATATAAAAATAAGAGCTAATGAATAAAATGAGGTAACAAGGAACTAAGGGAATTTCCTCCAAAACCCAAAAATTAAGAGGAAAACTGAAAAAGCAGAAATGTAATAGTGGAATTGAATGAAGCTCTTGATGTTCAGGGTTGGGTCATATTAATAGGTCTAACTGGTCCCTATGACCAAAGGGATTACATTTTAAGTGCCAAATGGAGACAAGTGCTTATACTTCAGAGCAAAGCCAGAAAGGTCTAACTGAATAAAGCCACAATCCTCGAAGGGCTATGCCGTAATGAAAGGGTGTAACAGGAGCAAACCCTACGCACTGCCAGGGAGACAATCACTCTGTTCTCAGATTCCCCACTTGAAAAGTTGGGACTTTAGTTCTACTCTCAGTTGAGTTCATCATTCAAATATTTATTTCTTTTATTGTCCAGTAAACCCTAACCCTTGAAATGAATGTAAAAAGTGGTCTCCATCTAGTGATTACCATGGTAGGAGCAAATGTCAATCTTGTCTAGAAAGTGACACCCTCAACTAGGCCACAAGGAATTCATGCAGATAAAGCAAACAAGAACTTCCCTATTAAAAAAATAATAATAAAAAGGCATACAGATACATCCACCATGAGCAAGAGGCAGCCAACACAACCTACATTTGGATGAGACCTTCAAGTCCTTAATATGATGAGATTTTAAAATATGCACTATTAAATATGAACAAAATATTTTTAAAAGGAAAACACTGGTCAGCCTCTTAGCGCAGTGATTAAGTGCCATGTGAAGTGAGCCAGATCTCACAGGGCTGAATCTTTGTCCTAGTAACTGAAAAACCCATCAGGCACATATGCATACATGTGCCCAGAATCCTAATGGGAAGGAGAAATGTAGGAATGGGGGTTGCAGCACGACCAGGCCTCATTGGAGGGCACTTTTGCTCACATTCTCTCTCTCCCTCACATGTACGTGACTTTTGGCATTTAAATAAATACATACATAAAGAGTAGACATGTAAGTTGACATCATCTTCCCATATAAGCACCACTCCAGCTTGTCTGGCCTTGCTCCACTGGGCATGGGCTGTGCATGCCTACTTAAAATGGGGGAGCCACTTCTGCTCTCATTTTCACTCTCTCTACGTAGAGGTACATTTTAAAAACTTTCATGTTGGGGACCAGCAGATGGCATAATGGTTATGTTGCTGGACTCCCACTTAGTCAACCAGGGTTTTAGTCCCAGACCTGGTGGCTTAAAACTCACACTGGCCACTGTAGACAAAGTGGAAGGAGAGTGGGAGTGGGGAAGAGTACAGGAAGGGAAATTTGGCAAAAAAATGGAGAACTAAGACATTTTGGGGACACAGATATGGTTTGTTGTCTGTTGATGATGTGTATAGTATTCTCAACTCGCCTGGTGTATGGTGTATACCATGTTGGGTAAAATCTCTTTACAATCTAAATGATGTATAGTGATTGACTGTATTAAAACAAACAAACAAACAAATAAAAATACTCCCACCAGGTGTGTGTGCCCAAAATCCCAAGAGGAGAATAGAGGAAAAGGATTGTGGTGTGGCAATTCTCCCTGCCGCCTCGGGGAGGGGGGCAATTTCTTGATTTGTCTCTGTTTCTCCAGCAAGTGTATGTGCCCTATAGCAAAAATCTCTCTCTTAAAACCTTTTTTTAATATTGAAAAGATCAAGTTTTCCAGTAGTAAAAGGCTTTAGATTATCATCACAAACTATTTTCTAAAGCAATCATTCAACCAATTAATCAGTCAGTAAGTAAGGAGAAGACACCAAATCTGGAATATTAGGAGGAGGTTCCTTATATGTACTACAAGGTATAAAAGACTTCAGTAAGAATGCAAATTCAAGAAAAGTAGTAGTAGTACATGAGATTAAAAGAACAGAGTGATAGGGAAACTGCAGGGTTTAAGACATTTGTTTACTATTACACTAAAAAATAGAGACAGCAAGGATCAGAATATTCAGGGCTGAAAACAGGCATGGAAAAATATTTGAGAGAGTCTCAAAATATGCAGAGAGAAGATAATAGAACTGGAAGACAGACAAGACAATCTAATACATTAGATACTTGTGTTCCTGAATGTAGAGAAATAGAGTGGTAATACAGGAAAATCTTATTTAATGAAGGTAAAAGGACATATTAAGCTCAAAGAGTATCTTTTATAACAGGTAAAAAAAAGACACAGAACTGGCGTCAATATTGAACTTCATTTAAAGATTTTTCAGGTATACAGGTAATTGAAAATCAGAAGTTTCAGAAAAACTCTTGGCATGATGCTCATTTGTTTTTGTTGGCCTATGTCAGTAGCCCATTCCTGGATCAATGATGAGAATGGGCTATTATTCTTATTGGCTGGGCTGTATCACCCAGAGCCAGGGTTAAGGACAGCCCCACATAATTCACTGATGGTGGAGGAGCGACTGGTTCCTCCAAAAAAATCCAGGATGCTGTGACCAAGAGAAGGGGGATGGATTCTGAGCAAATCAGAAGAGCAACTATTTTGTTATCTCCCCAGGTTAACATGTAAATTTTGAGAACAAGAACTGCATATTACACTTCTTTTTATCTCATGCGAAGAGTACGTCAGTTCCTTATTATGGTGTAGGTGCTCAAAAACATTGATTTGACATAACTTCATTTGTTTGTGAAATGAGGAAGCTGTAATAATTGAATTCTAAGACTCCTACAACTTTAATAAAGTTCTATGAAAGATTCCCTGAAGACATATCACACAGGGTCCCACAGTAAGCTCTTTCTATAAACTATAAAATATTTGAACATATATTTGTAGGTATAGCTCACAATAGACATTTTCAACTTCAGAAACTTCAAAAATTTTACAAAGTCCTATGAGATGAGCATATTTTCATGTGTCATTCAGGTCAGTGATTTACAACTTGAAGGGACAGTTGTCCTAATTACTCAGAGGCCCTTTTCTAACATTCATATTTTTGACTGAACTGTTTTACATCACTTCTAAGCCTCTAAGGAAGGAAGGAGAGTTTAATTTTTATCTGTTCCCCTGCCATTTATATCTACTTCAATATTCACTGTTTAATCACCATTTCCCATTTTGTTTAGCTGCAAAACTACCATCTTCCTTTTCTCTCCATCCACTTAATTGCCCACCAAGTCCTATTAATTCTACCTACAAATGTAGTTTAGATCTCTCTTCTACTCTTAATTCTTGCTCCCATCCTGGGCAGCATGGTTCAATTCTTATATATTTACCATGTATTCCTCCTGTTGTACTTTTCATATGAATATATAGTGGTAAGAAGACAGGCTTGAAACAGTCTGCCTGGTTCATAGCCTGGCTCTAGCAATTGTTCTGTGTGACTCCCAGGGAGTTACATAACCTCTCGGAGCTTCAGCTCCCTGTTGTGTAAAATGAGTCTAAAAATAGTACTTTATAAGGTTACTGGGAAAATTAGATGAATTAAAACATGTTAAATATTTAGATCAATGTCCAGCACATATGACATAGATATTAACTATTATATGTGAGTTTTACAGCATAATATTTTTGCTATGAATATATAGGTCACTGATTTCCCCAATAGCCTGGGAATTTATCAAGGGCAGGGCTATATAATTAACAGTGTTTGTTAAATAATAGCAGTAGTATGCATTTTACTCACCAACTCCCTGAACAATGTTGGGGCAGTTTAAAATTTGGTCAAATGAATTTCGCCTGTTAGAATAACAGTTCTGCAAAGTAACCACTAGATGGAAGCAAAGCCCTTTACAAAAATCAACTCCCCAGAAACTGCTGAAGTCTTAGCCCTTTTGTCTCCTTTATCTATACAACCTCATTGTCGCCAACAACAAAATAGCATCATCATCATCAATAACCACAGCTACAACAAAGGCAGCTAAGAAGAGATCCAGAACTTTGCATACTGAACATATTTCAGAATTAAGGTTTTGGGAAAGTCTTTGTACTGAATTTAGAAATTATTAGTCAAAAATGCTGAAATATTGTCATTTAACTGACAACTAGCTGCCACCCATCCACACTTACATAACAAGACTCTCCGAAGCTCATCACTGGGAGGATGTAGATCTCCAGGTCTATGCCGTGTGACTGCCACATAACGACCAGCTGTCCCTGCGAACGACACACCTCTCTTCATTATTTATGAAGAATTGTTTTCCTATCTTGTTGGAGATGGAGTGATTTATAGGTATTCAATGATTTAATTACTGGGCTTATTCTCTGGGAGTTTCTAGATCTCATCTTCAAACATGTGTCTGGTGTCCTTTGTTCATAGAGTAGGAATTCATTTCCTTCTCCCTTATTTCTAGGAGGGATCTTGGACTTTGTTTTCTCCATATGATTCCCATGTTTGACACCCTCCCACAAGCGTCACCTCCCTTTATATTAATGTCAGCAAAGATTCCCAGTGGGGAGGAGGCCATGATTAGTTGAAATACTCCTCACCCCAGATGCTGTTGAGCTCCCAGGAACTGTTTAGTTTTCTCTAATTAGCCTTCTCCGACTATTGTTACAGTGGATTAATACTGTTTCTCTTAGAGTGGGGATGGCTTTAATATTCTTAAATATTTCTGGACTCTTTCACTTTTACTCCTCCTCTATTTCCTGTTCTCCCTCACTTTCCTCTTTTCTCTATTTCTTTGTTCCTCTTAAAATTATACATATTTCCTTTCTACAATGCAATGCTATCTTAATCATATAATGAGGGAACATCCAATAATATAAATTTGATCTTAAAAGTGAGAGGTTTTTTTCTGTATACTAAATATAAGTATGTGATATCTTGGTAGGAAAAGAAAATTTCCTCTTAGAAGGAATGCTCAATTATTGTTATCATTGCCCCAAAGCTGAATGAGTGCATAGCCAAGCCAAAGTGCAATGACCTACTTAGGATCACCCCAAATCATGTGGATGAAAAACGATGTCAATTCTGGCTTTTTTTTCTTATGATTTCTTTCTAGGTGGAGAGAGGTTTTACTTGCTCACTCACTGCTCAAACCAAACCTCCATCTGAGATTTAGACTTTTAAAATATAGTCTGGAACCTGAGCAAATAGGAATCAGGTTATCGCAGCTGAATTCAATTTCTTGGGATGCCCTCTTTTCTTCCAACAGAGCAGCCAAGTGAAAAAACTCATCTAAGGAGCAGAAGGGACAGATTTGGGTTGTCCTCCTGTGGCCAGAGCTGCCAGGTTCAGTTTAGTCATTAAACGCATGCTGCCCTGGCAATAACCAAAGAATCTAAAACCATCCCAGGCCCACTGCTAACCTTAATAAAGAGCTGAAGGAATATTCAAAGAAGCAAAGCATGTTTCTGTGTTCCCCTGAAGCAACATGAAGTCTGCTAAGTATTTTGACTTATGAATACACAAGCATAGCAAGAAATTCTGTTCTATACCTTCATGCTCACTGGCTGTCACAAAACGTACGACAAACACAGACGTCTGGGGTTGCTTTTCACCAGGGGTGGATGGAGGAGTCTCCAAGCACGTGGGTGAAGCTGTGGCCGTGTGATCTGCCTCCCTGGTTAGCCTCTGAGCTGGCCTCACAGCTGCCTTATGTAATGTGGTCTGCTTGCTGATGGGCTCCTGCTTGATTGGTTCCAGAGTGGGAACGGCAAAACCTGTGCACAGTCCCCGTGAGTGCTAGACGTGGCCAGCTGATTTGATTTTGTATTTCTCCTGCACCAAGAGGTTAAAGTGAGCATTACTTAGGAAATAAATGTGTGCTCAGTGAGGTGAGGAATGATCTGGATGACTAATGGAGGCAGTGGAGGAGGTCTGAATTAAAGGTGTTTGTGTGGGTGAAGGAGAGTGAAGAAGTAAGGAAAGGAATTATGAGGGAAAATTCTCTCACCACTAGCAGCTAACCATAGATCATTGGAATTCATTCCTTATCAAACATGAGCAGGAACCAGGGAAGGGAATACTGCTGAGTGGAATGTCAAATAGAGCGACTAGCTTTCTCTTGCTGCCCTTTCAGTCTAAATACTTCAGTAAAGATATGCAGCTGTCTGCAGAGCTGTTACAAGGAAGCAATAAAGTAGAAAGACATTCGTTGATGGAAGATTTACTACTAAGGGCATAGCTTATTGTATCTTTTAAAAGCCCACATCATTTGTTTTTGAGTCAAAACACTTTTTAAGAATATTTCTTTTCTTCTTTACATATATATATATAAATAAAATGTCTCTTTTCTCTGGAATTCTTTTTATACTTCTTCCAAAACTAAGGGGACTCAACACAAATTTTGACTCTTTTGGTGAAAATTTACATAAGTAGCCAAAATCTTTACCCACTGCCCCTTCAGAATTGCTTTATTTTTACTTTTCTGTAAATATGAACAGCAACAAAGTCCCTAAGTAACAGTGCTTTGAATTTCTCCTAGGCATGTCCCTGGGCGGGGGGAGTGTTATTTCTCACTTTCTATCTCTGTCTCTCTGGTGAGCACCCATTCCTTATAGCAAAAATCCCTCAAAAAAAAAAAAATCTTGGGCTTATTTTTAGGAGAACAACCACAACTCTCAGCGGGTCCTCCATAACCATCGACTTAAGACTGTAAAGTTGAACATTAATGAGTTCTCTTGTTCGCCCCCGCCCCAATAAAAAATTCTTTTTGGTATGATAATTTTGTTTACTTCTCCCGTGAGCCAGTCGTTACCGAAATCCATCACCAGAGGACGCGCATTTACAGAAAATGCACCAGTTTCCAGCTCTGGCTGATCGCTTCCCCTGCTATTTGCAGGATGGAAGAAACAGGTTTTATTCGGAGGTATTTTCAGTTCAAATTCAAGTTCTAGAACTTAGATTTATTATTAGCCTGTTCTCTTACTTGGGTGGAAGGGAAGAGAAAAACAGGTCTGTCTGCAGCCATTGTGTTCTACCCCTATTCGAAACTGCCTCAGAAACTGCAAGTGTTCAAAGATAAAATGAGCCTGATCGCCTATGGATCTGAGCACAGGCTCCAGCCTCTCTCAAATGACAAATCGCCTCATGTTACTCAAGAAACCACAAAAGATTCACACCCGCCCCCTCCTCCCCCGGGCCTTGTCCTGCAAATGATTTGCAATCCCAGACAAGTATTATCTAACACTGAAGCAGAAGCCTGCAGCTTGGGCTTGTTATTTTGTTCAGAGAAAAGACATTTTAAAAATGGTTATTATATCACTCTCCTAAACGCCTGTGAGAAAAACATTTCTGAGGATTGTTAGAAACGCCAGAGAAGTGGAACTGATTGAAATTTGCATCAGAGCCAATGATTGTGAGAATCCACCACTGCCCGAGGGAGTAATTTGAAGGAAAAGAGAGAACCTGATGGGGCGAATAGGAAAAGCTACAGACCTCAAGGGGGAAACCTGGGTCTAATCCTGGCTGATTGCTACCTAATGGGCTGAGTGTCCTTGGGTTAGTTACTTAACTTCTCTGGGCCTCAGTTCTGCAAGCTGTTGATTAGATGATCTCAGAATTCTTTTCATTCTAACAAGACATCCTTCTCTCAAGAGCAGATGCAGATGACGTTGTTAATTTGATGACTCATGGAGAATACAGAAACATCCAATAATGTATTAACCATTTTCCAGGATGTTGTAATCTTTCAAACAGCTTTGAAGTACTCTGTATTTTCTTATTTATGAAAATAATTCACTATTTAGCATTTCAAGTGTTTTTCTGGCAAATTCTCTCTGGGTAATGTTAGGCAGGCACTGTGGCATGGTAAAAAAACGAACAAACAAACAAAAAAACAGGCTTAGGTTTGGACCCTGGATCTGCCTTTCATTTGCTGTGTGTGACTTTGGACAAGTTACTTAACTGGACTTTTGATTCTTAAATTGCAAGAATCTTTTAGAATTATACTAAGAAACAATGAACTAACTAGATGGTTGGGCATACGTCGAATCATCATTACATGAGAATTCTTTAGAACTATTCATATCTTTCATTATTACTAAAACATCCATCCACCTATTGTATAAAACTATTTCAAGAGTTATTTAATCCCGAAGAACTATGCACTATTTAGTTCTCTTGGTTATATGTTTACTGACTTACAAACTTCAGAATTGCAAAATCTTGAATGAAGGAATTTCAGGAAGATTTTTCAGAGATATAGTCCTGTTTGGAAAATGATCTCATCTTCTCCAAAAGTGGGAATGTGGAAACTGTTAGAGTATCTAGTCTTTGCAACCTGAAGGGATAGGACGAGGACTCCTTGGTTGGGGGTAAGGTACAGATTTCTACAGTGTAATGTATGCTGGAAGATGGAAGGTGCTGGTATGTTAAGCAGAAGGATGGAAGGGGGTTCCACCATCTCTGGTGGTCACATCCTCATGGTCATTCCTGCATCTCCTTCAGAGTTTCTATCACCCAGTTGGAGACAGAAAAGAGAATTACTGGGAAAAACTGGTGAAAGCCAATTACTGAAACAAATCTTTAGGCTGAGTCCAGAGGATGGTGTGTGAAGCAGCTCAGTTGAACATGTGTGCAGGGTGGGAACTTCTGCCCCTGTAGCTCCAGGCACATGTGCATGTGTAGCAGATGCTCTTGGTGCCCAGCCTGCGGCCCCCAAGATTTCCCCTCCTTGCTGTAGGCTGCTTTTTGTGACCATCTTTGATGCTCTGCCTGAAGTCCTTTTCTGACAGGGAGCTTGCTCAGGGCAAGCTTTAAGTGCCACATTTAATTCCCCTACAGAGCAGCTCTCAACCAGTGACCAGCAGAGAAATGGGTGAAGGAACTACCTCAGTTTATGTCCTGCTTGGGTTGCCTCTGAGGCATGTTTGGTGTTTTCTCCGAGTTCCTCTAAGGATGCACTACCTTCGTTGGCTTTCTTCCCTTCCCTAAATCACTTCTTCCCGCCTCCACTGGTGTACTCAGTGTGCTGGCACTCTAATCTTTGTTTCTGGGTCTGCTTCTGCAAGAATGCAACCTAAGAGATCAGGATAAGGCTTCTAGTTTAAAATTTTCACGTGATGTTTCTGCTTACAGAACATGAGTTATGGTGTCATATAGATGTAGGTCTGTGATTGGGCACTGCCATGCATGCGTTTTGTACCTTAGGTCAAGTTCTTTTATCTATTCAAGCTTCAATTTATGTACTTAGCTAAAAAATGAGTGTAAGGAAACTTAGTCATCAGATTGATGTGATAATTGAATATGAGTCTGCCTGCAATGTGACTAGCACAGGGTCTGGCTCATAGGAAGTCTTAGCTTTCAAGTAAATATTGGCAATCACTAACTGTTCTTGCTCTTATTTGCCCTCCTAAATATGCATAGGAGAGCTCCTACATTGGCTGTGAAAAATGTCTTCTGGGGCTACTATGGAAATCAGAAGAGAAAAATGATGATTTGTAGCCTTTTCATTCCTAAGGCAGAACATAATTTTCTCAGAAACATTAGGCTTCATTTAAAAAGAAATGCTATATGAGCAGGAATAAACAGAGACACAAAAAAGGAAATGCCAGTGAAAGTGAAAAGCCAGTCCCAGTTGGCTCTGAACACGATAGGTGTGCAAGTGGGAGCTACAACAGTGAACATCTAAGGGTTATTTTTAGAAGCTGGGGAAATGCTGAGGAAGAAGTAAGAGGGGAAATATGCAGCATTTCTGTAACTCATTTCCAAGTAGCTCTGAAATGAAGTTTTATATTTAATGGAGTTTTAAACAATTGGGATTGAAAGCCTAAAATAGAAGTAAGAACACTTAGCCAACTTCGGAGCATTTTGTTGGGTCTGCTGCAGAATATTAGGCTTGGGAAAGCTGTATGCAGGGATAGATAACATACACGGAAGTGAACATAGCCCTGCTATTACACTTAGGTTTGATTTGCCTTAAGACTCTCACTAATGATTCTTTTCCAGCCTATTGTTTGAACCGTATCTCTGCCTAGATGATGACATCAGCCTTCCTTATCCACTAGTTTATCCTTCTTTGTCTTCCCTTTAATAAAACTGTGTTTTTGACTTCAGTGCTTTTGCTCTGTTGCTTCTCTACTTTGGCGTGTCTTTCTGATTACCTTCCTGCAGAAGTTCCATCCTTCTTCAAATTCCTTCTACTACTTGGTGCTCCAGACTCTTCACTTTGACTTATGGGGCTGGAAAGAGAAATTAGGTCTATGCTGTCAATGCTTTGGGTGCTGTTGTCTGCAGCCTGTAGAAATGGATGCCACTGGAAGTCTTCAAGGAGGATAGACAGATAGTCACACTATCCACTGTGTGTAAGAATAATGCGGGCAGCCATGTGAATTACACCTTCAGAGGGGCTCAGGCACAAGGAGGGTAGGATATGAACTAAGCAAGGAGTAAAGCCAGAGCAGCAGAAAAGATGACTTTGAGAGACCTCTGGAGTACTTATTTGAAAGAGCTTGATGACCAGTTAGACGTGGAGAACAGAAGGAAACGAGGACAGGGTAACTATGGGGGACTGGAGGCTTCTACAGATCTGTGCAGGGCAGTGATACAAGGCAGGACATGGGGTGGAACAGATAAGAATTTGATTTGTATGTGCGTTGCTTGATCATTTATTTGCAG